GTTGATGGTGTCAATTTGATCACATATAGATAGTTTTTGAAAGTGTAATGCTTAATGCAGACGTTCTTTTCTAGTTAGGTTAACCTATTATCTGGCTACAAAATGACTTCAGGGGATAGTTTCCGTTCAGGATTTAAAGATTTCATTAGGACAATAGTTTCGGGGTTCAGCTGGCCTACATGGCTCCAGAAAGTCTGGCTTCTAAGAGAATTTGAAATTCTGTTCTGCATTTTCCTCCTTTTAATCAGGATTTTTCAATAGAATCTTTGATCAAAATCTTCAGTAATGGTAGTCTGACACCATCCATTTCTTCTGGTCTCATGGCAAAGGACACAGTTGTTCATGGAGGCAATTGGACATGTATTCCGTGTCCTCCACCAATTCCTGACCCTCCTTCTTCCTCTGGTGCTCCCAGTGAATGGAGATGATACTGTTTGTTTCTGATGCATTTTCTGGGGGGCTCTGCACGGTGGCCCTGTGAGGTGGGTATTGCCCCTGTTTTACAGAAGCGGGAACTGAGGCCAGTGGCCCAAGCAGCCTCCATGGGCTTGGAGGAAGTGGGCAGGGGCTGCAGGCTGGTTCAGCAAGGCTTGGAAGAGGGAGGCCCAAAATTCCTACCCACTTCTCGTTCCCCCTGCTTCTCCCCGACAGGCCATTCTGCAGGGGCCTCAGCTGCAGAAGAGGAACTGAATGTTCTCCCAGGGATGGAGGGCTGGTGTGGGAAGCGCCTCATCAGCCACTAAGGACCGAGCATGTGGGGGGAGGGGTGGGGGTAGGTGGGGGCATGGCAGGACCCCAGGGAAGACCTCACCTCACAGTGCTACATGCCCCCCCCTCCCCAGGTTGTGCTCAGGGAGCCCTCCTCTTACCTAGTGGCCACATAGGACTCCTCTGGATTCTGGGGAGAGGTAGGTAGAGATCCCTGACAGCTCAGGTGGGGCACACTGGGCACAGTGTCACCCAGAGCAGGGGACCCCGCAGGCAGGGGACGGGGCTACCTTCATGGAGGATATCTGGAGCTGGGGTCCCGAGGAGGGGTCTCTGCTGGACAGGACCTGGGTCAAGGTCAGGCCTCCCTCCAGTGCTGGGCCAGCTGACCAAGAGGCTGCTTTTGTTTCTTGTCTGGAGTGAAGGGGCGCTAAATGGGTGCTGGGCATGCCCTCGGGGACAGGGCCATATGGGCCAGGCCAGGTGGGATGAGGCCACATGCAGGGGGCAGCCAGGAGGGGTCCTGCTGTAGGGCCCCCATAGGCATGTGTCGACCACCTCCGCTGCCCAGGGCCTGGGTTCCTTGTGTACCGGCTGGGCTCGGGTACACACACTTGCAACCAGAACTCATGCACACATGTGTGCCACCCTCAGGCCCAGGGCTGGTGTCCCCACAGGAGGGTGGGTTTGCCAGAGGCAATATGCCAGGAGGTGAGGGGCTCTGTTTGGTGCTCTAGGCAGGACTGTGGCCTGGCGTGTTGGCCGAGAGGTGTCAACGCCAAGTTGCCTAAAGCCTTGTGACCACTTCCTCCTGTCCCTGAGAAGGGTGCCAGTGCCATGCCCATCCTTTACACCTCTGGGCTGGATCCTAGCCCTCACACAGGGGCTGAGGTCCAGTCCAGCTCTGACCCAGAACCGTGGGGGTGGGCCGTGCCCCCCCGCCCCCACCGCTGCATCCCCCTTGGTGGAGCCGAGCCCTGGGGCCTGAGCTCTCTCCCGGCCTTCTGATGGCTCCTGGCTGGGGTGGTGGGGCAGAGGCACTTGCAGACAAGCTTCAGGAAGAGCAGAGAAGTGTTCTGGTGTTCAGCATGTTGGACCATGTGCTGGAGTGGGGATCAAAATAGACGGGGTCCCTGCAGCAGGGGTGACTCCTACTTCCCCATGATGGAGGGAGGGCTGGAACCCTGAGTGTCTCCCCATGCCCCTGAGCACAGCCCCTGGGGCTGTGGGGCCAGCCTCCGGCCTGAGACGACAGAGCTTCTGGAGGATTGGCCTGACTCCTGTGTACTGGGCCCCTTTCTGGGTGATTCCTGGAGGGCTCAGGCAATCTTGGAGTGCGTACCACGTGGGTGCGGGAGGGGGGTGCGTGGGTGGATGTTTGGCTCAGGCTTGGGAGCCTCAGGCTGGGCCACACTCTGGCTGCTGCACAGCGGCCACGAGCTCACGTAATGGAATCCCTGAAACCCAAGCCCGACTCGTGGAGAATGTGTTTTTAATTTCTGGCCGGCATCTCTGGGAAGAGGGGCAGGCCCGGCTGAGCCCTGCACCCCTCAGCCTGGCCCAGGACAAGAGGGGCCCTTTCCAGAGCCTTCCCCAGAGCTGTGGGCCCAGGGTCAGCTGCCAGCTCCACAGTGTTTGTGACCTTGGCCTTCCGCTCAGCCTCAGTTTCGCCATCTGGGCTGAGGGGTTACTGGGGGTCAGGGGCCGTGGTGGCTGCTCCCTGGGAGGGACTGTTCTCGTTCTCTACCCTCCTTCCCTTGCAGGGCCTGGGGACAGAGAGCCAGAGTACTGGCCTGGAAGTGGGGCGGGAAGAGGGTGTGGTGGGAGCCCCCTCCCCCACAGGGTACCCCCAGACGAGACACTGTGGCAGCAACTCACAGGGAAGCCCCCAGACCATGCACTGAGCCAATCCATGATAACCCCAAGCAAGACTCCACCCCAGCTCCCTTTCCTCACCCCAGGCCTGGGCTCCAGCAAGGGCTAGTGGGTGTGGGGCCAGAGCCCCCCACAGGCCCCAGGGGGCACCCTGGCCACCCCCCAAACTCCCTCTCCTCCCTTGTCCCTTCCCCTGGGGGAGGGGAGACCTAGAGTGGGAGAGGCCTTTGGCAGTTCCAGGGCTGGGCCAGGATGTCCCTAGAAGTAAGTCAGGGACCACCCCTCTTCCTGCCCACACCCCGCCTCTGCCTCCGGCTGGGCCCACCCAGAGGCCTCAGTCCTCTCCCAGTGGGCTCCTCAGGCAGCCGTGGCCTTTCTCATGCTCCTAGGGAAGTGGTCCCCTCCGTCAGATGCCTAGCCAGTACCTGTACCCCTCACACCTGCACCCCTCTATGACAGCTTAGACAACAGCTTTCCCTGAGGCAGCCACAGGTGGGCCGGCCTGATGTGAGCAGGGGCGGCTGTGGGGGGACCAGCACACCTGGTGGTTTGCAGCCCTTTTGGGAGATGCACATATATGCACACGTGGGCGGGCACGTCCCCTGAGTGGCCTGTCCATGTTCCTGGTGTGTGCTCTGTGTGTGCCCTCTGTGCGGCCAGGGCTGCGAGGATGCCCAGCCAGAGCTGCCTGTGCAGGTGGTGTGAGGGTGTGCACCTCAGTCACGCATGACCGCCCTCCCTGGTGGCCTGTGCTATGTGGGAGGGTGCACATGTCTGCGTGCCGATGGTGCCCCACCAAGGCTAGCTAGAGAAGGGGAGCAGGTGTGAGGGGTGGCACCCACTTGAAGGTGCAGGTTCCCCACCCACGCCCCCCATCCATGACTTCTGTAAGCCTGACTCTCCCATCTGCACAGTGGAGCCAAGCCCCACCTCCACCCCAGGGGACTTCCTGGAGGAGGTGGTCTGTGCAGAGTTTAAGGGGAACAGTGGGAACTCCTTGAAGGGGAGGAGGTGTTCCAGACACAGGGGCTGCATTCCTGCACCCACCCCCCCGTGCCATCCCCACCTCAGCTGGGGTGGGAGGAGAACTGAGGGCCGGAGCTTGGTTGGATTGGGCCCCCCAACAGGCCTGACTGCCACAGCACTGGGGCGGGTCTCATTTGGGATACGGGTGAGGCTTCAGACCCCAAGCTCCCTGGCTCCTTGGAAGGGGGGATAGCAGGGTCCAGGCCACTGGGGGAGAGTCTGGCCCAGGGGAGGGCAGGGGCGCCTAGATGGATGCAGCCCATGGTCTTGGGGACTGCGAAGGCAGTGGGCAGAAGGGGAGTGCAGGCTGAGACCACAGGAGGGAGGCCCCAGGGCCCCAGCAGGAAGGTTTCTGGGGCCTCTGGGGCCAGCAGCCACACTGTGGCTGAGCACCTCGCCTTGTTTTGCCTAACCGGCCGCTTGTATCAACTTGGCCACAGACGGAAAATTCCATTTGGTCAGCACCAGATGCTGATTATAGACAGTTCCCATGCTTATTCTGAATGGGCCCGGGGAAAAGTGGCTGGGCCACCATGGGAATGCCAGACGGCTCTGGAAGGTGTCCTCTGGGAGCATGGACCCGGGAGAGGCGGCAGAGATAATATGGCCCAGGCTTCGCTCTCCTGGACTCCTGGGCTCAGGGCCAGGGTGAGCCTGGCTGCCCTGGGGTGAAGACACACTGCCCAATTTGCCTGGCGCCCTGTGCCCTGGCCTGGCACACTCAGACATGTAAGCATACTTTCAGCGGTGAAGCTGGGCCCCTGGTGGAGGGCCCCTCACCTCTCTGAGCCTCAGTGACCTACCTCATCTGCAGAATGGGCAAATGCGCCGCCTACAACCTGTGGGAGCTGAGGGAGGCTGGCCTGGGGCAGAGTCTGGAGCTTGCCCTCTGGGGCTGCCCTTTGGGTCATCTGGGAGCTTATGCAGAGAGAGGGAGCTACAGAGAAAGCTGCCCAGCCTCTTGGAGCTGGGATAGGGCAGGGAGAAGATGAGTGTGTCTTGAGCACAGCAGTCCTGGGGCCATTTTGTAGGCTTGGAGGTGAGGCTCAGGGGGGGTGGAGTCTTACCTCACTGGGTGACCCTGAGGAGGAGGTACAGAAGGACCCAGGCACACAGGTAACGAGTGCACCTCTGTCTTCAGTTGGGGCGGCTTCCTGGATGGAATGGGCCTGGGACAGATGGGAGGGAGGCAGCTGGAGAAGGACCTTGTGTGCAGGGTAACTGGGGGCACCTGAGCCGCTACCTGGGGCTCGAGTGACTTCCGTCCTTGGGTGTCCTCTCGTCTGAGCCCCAAGACAGGTCCTCACCCTCAGGGTTGTCCTCCCCAGGGAGGTGGGGTACTGGGGTAGATGGTTGCTGTGTATGAGGCCTCCCCTGGTGGACCGGTCACCTTCCCTGCCCCAGCCTCTGACACATGCCCACTGCCTGCTGCTGGGGAGCCCCCAGCCACAGGCACCACTCCAGCTGCTCCTGCCACTGCCTCCCCTATGCCTGTCCGTGTGTGAGCAGGAGGACGGTGCACACGCACACCTCTCTCCCACCTCTGGCTGAGCCAGGACTGGGCCCCTGCCCTTCCAGAAGAGCAACGTTGCTGCTCCCTGCCCCCTGGACCTGGCAGCTCCCCGTTGCACATGTAAGCACATTGGATCCTCACAGTGACTGTACTAGGAAAACCATGTTTCTGTCTCCACGTTCTACATGGGGAAACTGAGGCACAGAGAGTGACAGTCAGCAGGTCAAGGCCGCGTTCTAGAACCAGGCTGCAAGCAGCATTGGGTCCTGGGCACTGTGACTTCCTGGCAGGCAGGCAGTGCCTCTCAGGGGGGGTGGGGTGGGGTGGAGGGGCATGGAGTTCTAGCAGCAGGCAGCTCTCAGGCTCCTAGGGTGAGGCCAGTGCTGCAAACAGGGTGGGGGCTACATTCTAGGTGTTTCACCACCATTCTCCTGTGGGCCCTCACTTTCTTGTGGGACCCTCTCTCCTGTGACAACCCTGGGGGGTGGGAGGATGGTCACCCCACTTTACTGAGAAGGAAACCACCCTGACAGCAGCAGAACCTGGCCAACCCCGAAACTCACCGAGGCCTTCTGCCCACCTCAAACGCCCAGGAGTACAGAGAGGGGAATTTTTTCTTTTAGTTACTAAGGTAGTATGTGTGTGTGGTCAAAACAAAAGCAGACAGGCCCAGCCAAAGCTACGGAGGAAGACACAATTGAAGTATAAGTGCCTTCTCCGCCCTCCTGCTTGCCAGCCAGGATTTGCCCTGAAACCTTCTGGAAGCACCCCGTCCTCGGGCTTGCTTCCGGGGTGCTGTGTGTCTTGGTGTGATCCGGCCCTGGCACTGCCCGGGTCAACACTGTTACACCCCAGTGCTCCTGGCTCAGATGGCCACAGCCGGTCCTCTCTGGGGGCTGACCCTGGCGGCCAGTTAATTGCAGACCTGCCCTGGCCCCCCGCCCCACCCCCCTCCACCTCACCTTTTGTTTCATGCCTCTCCTCCCAGCATGCCCAGTATTTTCCCGCCATATCTGACCAGGGGGCTGGGCCTGAAGCTGGAGTGCCAGCCCAGAGCAGGGAAGGAGGGCTTCCTAGCACAGGCCACAAAAGGCGTGCCCCAGGGAGAGGGGAGGGGAGTGGGGAGCCAGGGCCTGCAGAGCCGGGGTGGGGATGAGGTAGGAAGCCCCTAGAGGCTTGTAAGTCGGGGGTGCAGGGTCTGAATGAGGGTTTTAAGGCCCCTGGGGCTGTGCTGGGCCAGGCTGCTCTTCGTGGGGAGGGGCTGCTGTGGAGTTGGGGTGGGGGTCTCCCAGATGGACACCTAGGCCCTGGCATTCTAAGGAAATGCTTTTAGAAATCATTTCTAGGCAGCACAGGCCCGCTGCCCTCACAGGGAGAGGGTCCACTGTCCCCACAGGGAGGGAGGGGTCTGCTGCCCCCACAGGTGGCACCTGTACTGCCTCTGACCAGCAGAGTCCTCCATTCACCCCTGTATGGTCAGCACCTCAGGTTCCTGCCAGGCTAAGCCTGTGAAGGCAGGCATGGAGAGTCCACAAATGTTGCTTTTACCGGCTCCCTAATGTTTGTTGATGACCTACTCTGTGCCAAGTGGAGCCAGGCTAGTGGTGGCGGGGCAGCACTGGGATACGAGGTCGGGTCTGGCCCAGGTCCACCCTCGGCTCCTGAGTCCCGCCAGAAGACACCTCACGCGGCCTGGCCTGATCCCCTGGGTGGCCTTGGGCAGGCCCCTCCTCTGCCTAGGCCTTGGGGTTACCCTTTGGGACTTGGGCACCCTGGGCCCTTGGGGGAGCCTGGGGGAGCCCCCTCCACCTGGGGAGCATGGGTGTCAGGGGCCCCAGGTCAGGTCCCTCCTGCCGGGTGCAGAGGGTGGTGATGAGCCTGGACTGCTGGTGGCAGGCAGCAGTTGCGGGCTGAGGCAGTGTCGAAGTGGAGCCTTGGCTGTGCTGAGGGCCCCCACACTGTGCCCTGCATGGGAGCAGAGGCCCAGCCTCCAAACAGCACCTCAGCCCCCCACCACACTCCGGGGCACCTGCTGTGTCTCTGGACCTTGGCAGTTTGGCCCCCTGCCCACGCTGGCTAGGGGTGTAGGCCCTGGTCAGGGCTAATGGTCTGGGCAGGAGAGGACTCCTTGGAGGGCAGGGAGCGCCCTCCTCCTGCTGCCTGGCAACCATCTCCTGGGAGACAGCCCACTGGGCTCCTGGCTGCTGATGGCGGCTGAGCCGTGGTCCCACGGGGAGGGGGGAGGTTAGGCAAGGGGGTGGGGCTGGGCCTTCTGTCTCTAGGCTCAGAGCCAGGGACAGCCATGACTGCTGGGGCTCAGACGTGGGAAGGGGTGTTCAGGGCCAGTGGAGGCCCAGGAGAGGGGCATCTTGGTGTCACACGCCAGCCTTGATGGCCTCTGTGGTTGATGTCCTCCTGATGGGGCGCCACTGTGGGCGCATGGGCAGGTCTGCAGGGTGTCAGTGGCCGCACCCCATCCTTGCCAGCAGGAGGGTGCTGAGGTTCCGAGGGGCCCCCATGGGGGCAAGGCCACGTGATGGGAAGGGGCGGTGTTGGAACTCAGAGTGCAGAATGGAGGAGCGGGTCTCCCCCCACCTGCCCTCCTCCTCTGAAGCTGTGAGATGGGGGTGGAAGCTCTTTGCATGGCCAACTGTAGGGTGCAGTGCTGGGGCAGCAGACGCTGGGGCCGTTTCTGGCCCCCTCCCGCCCTGGGGGCTGAGCCTGCAGGGGGTGCCCTTTGGGGGACGCTGACCTCACAGGAGGAAGGGCACTGCGACTCCCTTCCTGTCTGGTCTTCTGGGTCCCAAGGCGGGGGGGGGGGCCACCCTGACAGAGCGGTGTTGTGTTGGTGCAGGTGCACGGCCTTCATGGTGGAGTCCCAGGGACAGCCCAGGGGAGACTGGTGGGGGCCAGCCTCCCCTTTATCTGATGCAGTGGGATTCCACCATGAGATGCCCCCAGTCCTGAAGGCAGCTCTTCAGAGAGCACCAGGCAGGAGGGGCCAGGAATGGGGTGCCCTGCTTGGGAGGGAACAGCCCCCCCCGCCCCAGACGTGCATGTATGCCTGGCCACACCCCTGCAGCAGCCACCCACTGTCACTATTCACAAGGGGGTCCAGAGGGATTCAGCCCACCGCAGGCTCCCCATTTTCTCAGCAGTCCCTAAACCCTCAGCACTTCAAATTGGCCCCCCTTGCCTGGCTTGGCCCAGCCAGAGTCTACCAGGAGGGGTGATGAGGACACAGGGTGGCCCAGTGGGCTGGAGGGGCGGGGCCTCAGGCTGATAGCCACTCCCAGGGCTCTGCTGCCTGAAGGACTTTCCTGGGAATCTGAACCCACCTCTAGTGGGGAGGAGACAGCATTGCCCCCTTTTCACAAACAAGAAACTGAGGCTGTAGGAGATCAAGGGGCATCCTTGGCCACGTGATCCGTCAGTGACGGGCCTGGGGTCCGAATGTTCCCCTCCAGGCGATGACGGCCATCGCTCTTGGGGGTGCTGGGCTCTCTTGGGCCCATTTCCCAGGCCCATCCCCGTCCTACAAAGGAGGCCGAAGAGGGCCCCCCATGCCTTGATATCAAGGTCCTGGTGTCATGCTGGGTTGAGGCTGGTGAACCTGGTTGCCAGGTCTGGGGCCAAGTACCGGGTGGCTTCAGGCGAGTCACTTAGGTGTTGGGGACCTCTGTTCCTGCCCTGGAGATCCGGGGCAGGCAACCTCCTGGGGTGGGGGCGTTTGCCGGGCAGCGTGGAGACTTTCTGGGACTGCAGTGCACAGATGCCCCCTGCTCCAACCCCGCTCCTCACCCTGCAGGCGCTGCTGCTGCTGGGGGCGGCTGCGCTGGCCTGCCTCGCCCTAGACCTCCTCTTCCTGCTCTTCTACTCCTTCTGGCTCTGCTGCCGGCGGCGCAAGAGCGATGAACACCTGGACGCTGACTGCTGCTGCACGGCCTGGTGCGTCATCATCGCCACGCTCGTGTGCAGGTAAGCGCGGGGCTGGGGTGGGGCCTGGAGGGATGCCGCCAAAGGGAGGGGTGGGGCCTCTCCCACGCTGACTCCTGTAACCTCTGCCCACGTAGCCTGCTGCCAGCGGGTATCCCCCAGACTTCTGCCCGCCCCTCCAGATCCCTATCACTCCCCTCCCCCCAACAGTTCTGGCAGGCAGGCCCAGGAAACTCTGAGGCTCCGAGGTCACGGAGTCTGGCTGGCGGGAGCAGGCAGTGCCCGAGCCCGGGTCATATAGCGAGTCAAGCCAGGGCCGCTAACCCTGCTCCTCTAGCTAGCCGGTGGCCCCTTGGCTAGGCTGGCCTCCCCAGGGCTCCTACAGGTCTCCCACCTCAACTGCGGCCTTCAGGGGCCCCCAGGCGGATGGACCAGGTGCAGGGCTGTGCACTCATCCAGCGTTCCCTCACCTGGCCCCCTTCTCCCAGCGCCGGCATCGCTGTGGGGTTCTACGGCAATGGGGAGACCAGTGATGGCATCCACCGGGCCACCTACTCATTGCGCCATGCCAACCGCACAGTGGTCGGGGTCCAGGACCGTGTGAGTGGGGGCACCCTTCCTGTTCCTGGGTCCCCGAGTGTGCCCAGGCAAGGGGTGGATGGGGTCTGCTGGGTGGGGGCAAGGAACTGTGTAGGAGCGGGGGAGCTGCTGGGGTGCAGGAGGGCGTGTGCAGGGACAGGCGAGGGGGTAAGGGCACCTAGGGGCAGGGGACATTTGCAGGGACAGGTGAGGGGGTGAGGGCACCTGCTAGGGACGGGGGCGTGTGCAGGGACAGGTGACAGGGTGAGGGCACCTGCTGGGGGGCAGGAGGGTGTGTGCAGGGACAGGTGAGGTGGTGGGGGTACCTGCTGGGAGACGGGGGCATTTGCAGGGACAGATGAGGGGATGGGGGGACCTTCTGGGGAGGGCAGCAAGTGTGTGCTGGGACAGGTGAGGGGTGGGTGACACTTGCCCCACCTGTCCCCTCACCTGCCTGCACCCTCGCAGGTGTGGGACACAGCAGCGGCCCTGAACCGCACAGCAGAGCCCAGCCTGCAGACCCTGGAACGGCAGCTCGCAGGGCGGCCGGAGCCTCTGCGGGCGGTGCAGCGGCTGCAGGGCCTGCTTGGGACACTGCTGGGCTACACAGCCACCATCCCCTTCTGGAGAAACCCAGCCGTGTCACTGGAGGGGCTGGCCGAGCTGGTAGACCTCTACGACTGGTACAGGTGAGGTGGCCACCCTGCCCCCTGCCCTGCCCTGTCCTACCTGCCCCACCCTGCCCCCGCTGCACCCCAGGTTATAGTCACCTTTGTAGACCAGCTGGTCCCCAGCACCTAGTACCTGAGAGCTTATGGGTTGGGAGGGCCCAGGGCAGCAGAGGGGTCCCATATTCAGATGTATATTCCAAGAACAGACCCCACCCCCACATTATAGAACTGCCTGCTGGTGTCTCTTCTGGCCCCAGCTTGTCTGCCCTGGCCCTGCCCCAGTCCCTGGCCCTTGTTCCCTTGACCCAGCCCATATCACCTGGGCCCCACCCATGTCCCCCAGGTTTTGCTCACACCCGTGGTGTCCCCACAGGTGGCTGGGGTACCTGGGCCTACTTCTGCTGGATGTCATCATTTGTCTCCTGGTGCTGGTGGGGCTTATCCGAAGCTCCAAGGGTACCCTGGTTGGGTGAGTCTTGGGGATGAGATGCTCCCCTGTGTCAGGCCCCAGCCACAGGGTCTGCAGTAGGACTCAGGTCAGACCCTGGCTGCTGGTCTGCCCCATGTGGGGCTTCCTGTGGACAAGGCCCTGCTCTGAGACCCCCCCGCCCACTGCCCCACCATGTCCTTGGCAGATAGCCCTGTGGCCAGGGTCTCAGGCACATGGGCCCAGCCAGTCCTTGTTTTCCACGCCTGCTCCTCCCCGAGACCACCGAGGGCATGGGGACAGAGGGAGATGTGGGGCACCTGGGAGACCACGTCTAGCCCTGGCTCTGCCACCCTCGCCACCCTCCCAGCTGGCAGCCTTGGGCAGGTGGCCTGTTACCTCACCCGTTTCCTCTTCTGTAAGGTGCAGAGAGTGGCAGCTCGCCTGTCGGGGGCGGGACACGGTGTGGGCATTGCTCCTCACTGCACATTTGAACCATCACATCCTGGCCCTACCTGGGCCGGGTACTGGGCGAGAAGGGTAGACAGGAGCATGCCCTTGCCCTCGTGGCATTCCCAGATGGTAGACAGGACAAATACAAAGAGTGTCCGTGGGGTTGGGAGGCTGTGATCTCCGGAAAGGGCCAGGGAAGAAAGGGTAGGTGGGTGCTCTGCAGGGTGCCTGTCCTGCCCAGAGAGCTTCTGTAGGAGGGGCGGGTGGGAAAGTGGACACAGGAAGAAGGGCGTGTAGCCACACATCCCCAAGGTGGGAGTGTGGAGGAGGGGGCATAGGGGCAGCAGGAAGCCTGTGTGCCAGAGAGGCAGCACCTGGTCAGGCAGGTACTGGGGGGAGGGGCCAAGTGGGGCAGGGCCTGATCTGCCTGAGGCCCACTCTGTGGAATAGACTTAGGGGCCCGAGCAAATGCTGGGTGACCAACTGTCTGCTGAGAAGGGACTTGGGCATCGGGGCTGGGGACATCAGAGGCTGTGTGGCTTTGAGCTCGCTGAGCCCCAGCTCCAGCCCTAGTTGGGAGGGTCATTGCCCTGAGCCCTGCCAAGGCCAGACCCCAGATATCCCCTGGGCCCCGTCCTGCAGCCCGCAGTGGCACATCCCTGGCCTGGGGTGCTGACCACTCTCTCTGCCCCAAGGGTCTGCCTGCTGGGGGTGCTGGCCCTCGTCATCAGCTGGGCCGCCCTGGGCTTAGAGCTGGCCGTGTCTGTGGTGAGTGGCAGAGGACTAGTCATGTGCTGGGCACAGGGGAGGGGCGGAGGGAGCCCTATTCTTCTTCCTTCCCATTTTCCCCTGGGACACAGCTGTCCCAAGAGGGGTGGGGACACTCAGCAAGTCACTATCCCCTCAGATCATCTCTCTCCCTTCCTGAGCTGATAGTAGCCCCCCTGGAGTGTTGGGTTCTCCCTGAGAGCTGATGGGTGGGAGGATGGCTTCCCCTAGAGGCCTCTCTCTGTCACCCCATCTTCCACACCTGGCCCCCCAGGGTTCCAGTGACTTCTGCGTGGACCCCGACACCTTTGTGACCAAGATGGTGGAGGAACATTCGGTGCTCAGTGGGGGTGAGTGTGGGCTGTGGCAGGACTGGGGAGCAGGCGGAAGGAGGCCGAGGCATCCTGTTCTCAGGCGGCCCCGGGAGGTGGGGGCAGCCCCAGGACGGAAAGCCAGTGGGTGAGCTTGTCAAGCTGGGCTTATAGAGAGTCCAGGAGGTGGAACCCAGACCCAGGGTAGCTGTGCAGGGCTCCAGGCTCACGGAAGGGAGCAGAGAGCCGGGTGGACGCTGAGCAGGGCTGCTGTGGGGAGGGCTGGGCTGCCCCTACCTTCCGTTTCTGTGCTGTGGTGCAGAGCTGGGTCTGCAGGTGGGCACGGGGTCCGCCCTGAGAAGGGAGGCCCCTGGAACTCCCAGGCTCGATGTCCTGTTAAAAGGAAGGGTCCTGCAGCCCACAGAGGCCCACCTGCAGCCCACAGAGCAGTGGGCTAGTAATTGAGGGGTGTGAGGTGGTCAGGGTCTCCAGGTTCTCTAAGAGAAGCTGGGAAGTGGGAATGGTAAATAAATGCCTCCTGCTTTAAATGCTGGTATCCGAATTTTAAAAATGTTTTAACGGGGGTGAGACAGACAGCACACCTGTGTCCTGGGCTCCTAGGAAGAAACCTCGGGACTGTGACCTTGCCTCCTTGGGGCAACACTCGGGCTAAGTGTTGTGTTCTTCCCAAGTGACTCTGCTCGGAGGGGGTGGGTGCATTGGCTGAGGTGGGTTCTGACACCACCCCACCCCCTGCCATCTGCTGCCCCAGAGCCGGAGAGTGCAGGCTTGGCCCCCAGGAGTGGGTCATAGGCAGCTCAGAGACACAGCTCAGTGAAAGAGGGGTTGGCCATGCCTTCCCCTCCCCCGTGCACACACACAGGCACACTCATGCACACATGCAAACATACGCGCACACACACACACGTGCACACCCTCATATGCAGACCCACCCCACAGGCGGTCACGCTCGCTCAGCCACCCTCGCCTCTCTCCGCAGACATCCTGCAGTACTACCTGGCCTGCTCACCCCGTGCCGCCAACCCCTTCCAGCAGGTGAGGCTCGGGGGCTGCTCCTGCCCTGTCACAGTGCTTCTCCCCTGCCCCCAAGAGGCCAGGGTCCAGGGGAGGAGGGCATAGAGCCTGAAGCACCTTACTTATGTGTGTGAGAGGCTGAGCCGGCCCTGCCCTCCCAGCCAGCCAGCCACAGCCCACTGGGCCTGCAACTCACACCTCAGACCCCGGGAGCCATTGCAGGGGCAGCTGGGCAGAACTGTGTTGATGTCAACTGCCTGCTTAGGGTGGCCTACTGATGGTTCCCACATCCCTGGGGCCTTTCATCCTTGGATTGCCCTTGGCAGATCTGTCCAGCAGGTGTGGGCAGTGCTTCGGGATCCTTGGCACCTGTTGCAGGGGTGGGGTGGGGGTCCCTGAGGCCAGCTCTGCGGAGTAACTGTCTGGACTGGTGTGTTGGTGGTAGAATCAGAAGGCATCAGGCAGGACCAGCTGGGGACACCATTTCACCCACTGCCTGTCGTTCCACCATTACTGCATCACTCTTGGGGTCCCAAAGACTGTTACCTGCTTTAGAGATGTTGTAGTTTCAGGACAGGGTGTGGCAGCCTGGGACAGTGAATGAGGTATCCTGTAGGCTGGCTGCCAGGTGCCACAGGGCAGTGTGCCCAGGGCCGCCTCTGCTCCTGGGACGGCCAGCCCACCCTGGCAGCCTCATTGCAACATCACCTGGATGCCCTGTGGGCTGGCCAGATCCCCTGGGCTGCCATCCTTGGCCTGCCCTGTGTTTGTCAAGTCCCTGGGAGTGAGGGGATCAGGTGGCCCCTGCCCCGACCCCACCCCATCACCGCCCTCTGTGTGAGCAGAAGCTGTCGGGCAGCCACAAGGCGCTGGTAGAGATGCAGGACACGGTGGCTGAGCTCTTGAAGACGGTCCCGCGGGAGTCCCCGGCCACCAAGGTGAGGCACTGTGGGTGGGGGTGTGCGGGGCCCCTCGTAGGGTTCAGGTGCCCCTCCTCCGCACACAGAGGAGTGCAGGACGCATAGCGGAGGCGATTTAGACAAGGGGCGCTCTTCCCTTCATCTTCCGGTCCTTTCTGCCTGCAGACCTCCTTTCTCCTCCCCTTCCTCCCCTTTCCTTCCTTTCTCATGGAGACTTTTGGTAGGTTTTTAAAAAGAATTTTGTTTTTTATATTTTTAAAGCAACACAAAACTGTGTATAAAAAACAGGGTAAATGGCAACAAATCAAGGACAAAATCCCCACCTGGCTCAGAGATTCCTGCCGGTGCTGCACCCCCTGGAGGCGTCCTGGGAAGGCGTGGGCATCATTGCTTTTTCCCTGTGGGGCGAGGCCTGAGCATTTCCGTACTGAGATGTTTTCTTACTCGAAGCTGCTTGTATTTCTTATTTTTGGTACAGTGAGGGCATCCGGTTGATTTTTTGCTGTTAAGCGGGTAGGTAGGCTATATTATCCTGAAATTCATTTCAGGAGCCCAGAAGGGCCTTAAAAAAATGTGTTAGATAGGGCTGGATCTGATGGGGGTGAAAAGAGCTGATTTAGAGGAACCGCTGTCCACAATTAGGGTGTCCTCATAGTCAGTTTTCCATGTGTAAGGTATAAACAGATGTTTTTGTATGCACAGACAGACACAGACACGGACACACACGAAAGACATAAGCACAGTCAGACACGTAGACAGACATACAGACTGGCAGAGACACATATACACAGACAGACACACAGATACACACGGGCACACACAGACACACGGACGCACGTAGACACAGACACACACAAACATACACACAGATGCATACACATGGGCACACAGACATACAGACAAACCCACACACACAGATGCATGTACACAGACACACAGGGACATGCACAGACACAGTCACAGACACACACAGATGCACACACACACACTGCAGGACTGGACTCACTCTACTCACTGTGTCATATGTTGCTTTTCATGGGTCATGAGGGTTTTCCCTCGTCTTGAAATGCTCCCTAAAGTGTGGTTTCTAAGAAGAAGCCTGGTCTCTATCACTGGACACGTGTGCTGTGGGCTGTTGCTCCCACGACCATTGGAGGGAACCTGTCTTCCCGTGGCTGAGACCCCCTGGACCCCATACTTGCAGGCCCCGCCCCCCATCATTCCCTGAGCAGCCCGTGACGTTCTGTGTTTCCAGGGCCCGTGCCGAGGTTGGCGGTCAGTCTTGATGGCGGGTTGCAGGGTGGAGGAGACCTGGGGGCTCCCAGGAGGGGTGTGGCTGGCTCGGGCCCCTCCAGGGTGGTGCTGACCTTGCGTGGTGCCTGCCACCAGGACCCCCTGCTACGTGTCCAGGAGGTGCTGAATGGCACAGAGGTGAACCTGCAGCACCTCACGGCCCTGGTGGACTGCCGCAGCCTGCACCTGGTGAGCCAGCCCTCGGAGTGGACCCTGTGTGGTGGGGGCGCTGAGGGCCAAGGGAGCAGCTGGAGGGGGGTGTGTGTGAGCCATTTGGAGGGAGGGGTCCACCACCGGCTCATGTTCCTGTCCCGTCTCGCTGCCCCATACCCGCTGGCACAGGACTACGTGCAGGCCCTGACCGGCTTCTGCTACGACGGCGTCGAGGGCCTCATCTACCTGGCCCTCTTCTCCTTCGTCACGGCGCTCATGTTCAGCTCAATCGTCTGCAGCGTCCCACACACCTGGCAGCCCAAGAGGTGAGGCCCAGGCGAGACAGACGTGCCCTCCTGGACACCCCACACCCAGGTCGCCAAGGCAAGGGGCAGGAGCACCCTCACCTGTGTACGCTCTAGACCTCTCTGGCAGCTTGGAAACAGGCAGGCCAAGAGGAGCAACCCCGTTTTGCAGACGAAAGACTGAGCCCAGAGGAGCTCTCAGCCCAGGGGATACCGAGTCCAGAGCAGGCAGGGAGAGGGCCAGGGTCTCCGCCTCCCAGGGTTGGCCCTGTGCCCATGTCCCAAGGGCTGGCTCCCTGCCCTTCCATGGCTCTGACCAGCTGGACTTAGGATGTCTCTCCCAACCACCCCTCCCAGGCAGGTATCACCCACCTCAGGGTGCAAGTATGCAGACCTGTAGGAATTCAGCTTCTGTAGGGGGTGGTCCATGTGGTCAAGGCCTTCAGCTGAGTGACCAGGATGGGAGCTAGCTTTCAGGGAGCCCCTTTGTCCATGTCTTTCAAGTCGGGGGCCTAGCAGCCCCTGCCTCAATGTCCCCAGCCAGTGCTAGATTGAGTGGTGTATGGAGGTGCCAGGAACTCTGAGTAGCTCAGAAAATGGGGCCACAGTAGTTGCAATCAACCCCCTCCACATGGCTCTGACCAACCTCTGCCCTCTGGGGAAGTGGAAGGTTCTGGCCAGGCCCCCTCCCTAGCTTGGGGCCCCCCAGCACATCCTGCAGACCCACTCACTTTCCTTCCCACTTGGGCTGTGGCTGCTTCTTGGTGGCCCAGCTTGGATAGCAAGTAGCTCAGCTCAGACTTCTTCCCTCTGTCTGAATTTCTGCTCTGTTGTGATGGTGGTGGTGATGTTCCCGATGGTGGTAGTGATGGCAGTGGTGGAGGTGGTGGTGATGATGGTAGTGGTGGTGATAGTGTTGAGGATGGTGATGGCAGAGATGGTGGTAGTGGTGGTGGTGGTGGTGATGGTGGCAGAAGTGGTAATGATGGTGGTTGTGGTAGTGGAGATGAAAGTGGTGGTGATGGTGGTGACAGTGTTGATGATGGTGATGACAGGTGGTAGTGGAGGTGATGGTAATGATGGTAGAAGTGGTGATGGTGTTGGTGGTGGTGGCAGTAGTGGTGGTGGTGGTGGTGATGGTGATGGTTGTGATGATGGTGGTCATATTGGCAGTAGTAATGGTGTCGGTGATGGCGATAAAGATGGCAGGTGTAGGGTAGTCTTAAGAGCACAGCCCTGGAACCAGATGACCTGTATTTAAATCCTGGCTCACCCTCACTGTGTGATGTGGGCAAGTCATTTAACCCCTCCGGGCCTCAGTTTCCCAAACTCTTAAATGAGGTTGTAAGAGTAGACCCCTCCCAAGGTCGAGCGAGCACCAAGGAGCCCCTCAGTGTAAAGGCTCAGACCTAAGGGTAGCTGTTAGTCCCGGTGGGATGGAGAAGTGGGGCAATGAGCCAGGCCTGGCTGAGCTGTGCCGTCACCACCAGGTATCTGGGACCAGGTGGGCGTAGGTGAGTCTCAGGTGTCGAGGAGCCTGGCTCCCATGGCTGCCCTGGCCCCCGCTGTAGCCCCAAGCCGGAGTGAGGGCGGGAAGCCAGAGGGCATCAGAGCGAGGAGCCTGGGCTCGTGCTTCCCAGGGTGCAGACAGGGCCGACCTGCAGAGCCAGGAGGGGGAGCCCAAGCCCTAGGTGAGACCCTGTGCAGGTTCTACATTCACGTGAGCCCCCGGGGCCCGCAGCATCCGGGCCTCATCTCACATTGCAGAGAAGGGAGCTGAAGCATAGAGAGACAAAGGGACCAGCCCACTGTCCCCCAGCGGTGCGTGGCAGAGCCAGGTTGGGGCCTAGATGTGCCTGCGCCTGAGCTAATGCCCAGGGTGCCTAGGGGCTGGCCGCCTCGTGCCTGACCTGCCCAGGGTCTAAGCCTGTGCCGGTTCCCTCCTGCAGAGGCCCCGATGAGGACGGGGAGGAGGAGGCGGCCCCTGGGCCACGGCAGGCCCCCGACAGCCTGTACCGTGTGCACATGCCCAGCCTGTATAGCTGCGGGAGCAGCTACGGCAGCGAGACCAGCATCCCAGCCACGGCCCACACCGTCAGCAATGCGCCAGTCACCGAGTACATGTGAGGGCTGCGGGGCGGGTGGGGGCACGCGGCATGCTTGGGGTACCACAAGGGTCCAGCAGACATCAGGGCCTTGCCTAGGGGTCCAGCTCCAGCCCTGGGCCGGGCAGGAGAACAGGGGCTCAGAAATGGCAGGAGCAAGGCTGGTGGGGGTCACAGGGCAGGGAGGGGCAGTTGGAGGAGAGGTTGCGCCCCCAGGGACTGTGGGTGCAGCTGGGCAGCCCAGGGAAGCTGTAGGGGTTTGTCGGGGCTGGGTCGGGGGCCAAAGGTCTGGCAGTTAATGCCCCCAGTTCCCATGTAAGCCTCTTGGGTAGCGGGGGCGTTAAGGGGGGCACGAGGTCAGACTGGGACTCCATGTCTAGGGCAGCAGGAAGCTGTGGCCAGGGCCTGATGTGTGGCAGGTGGGGAGGCAGGAGGAGCTGGGTGGAGGCGGGCAGCTCTGAGCCTTTGTCACTGTCCCGGGATTCTTCGGGCGCCCCAGGCCCTTTTCGTGAGGAGCACACAGAGTGGTGGCAAAGAGGCACATTGAGGAAACCCTGTGGTGCGCCCGCCCCTGATGACGTCACTGTTGGGGGCGGGGGTACCTGTCAGTGCTGGGCCAAGCCGGGACCGCTGAGGCCGTTTGGGGTCACTCAGCCCTTCCTTTCCCCCACTCCTCAGGAGCCAGAATGCCAACTTCCAGAATCCCCGCTGTGAGAACACACCCCTCATCGGGCGCGAGTCCCCACCGCCCTCAGTAAGTCTTAGGGAAGGGAGGGTAGGGTAAGGGTGCTGCAGCCTTGGAGTGGGGGCCACCCCACGCCTCCTCCCAGGTGGCTCAGTGGGGGCTTCGTGGCCCACATGACCCTCTGTCCTCAGGGCTCTTGGGGGGCCTGGGCTGGGCTCACTGGCTCCTCCCAGAGGCTCGGGGTTTGCCTTGGGCCGGCTGCCTTGCAGTCAGGGGGCTCTGTCTCCTCAAGACTTGCTCTTATAGCTCAACTCAGGCAGTGCTGCTGGCCAGAAGGGGGCTCAGGGGTCTCTAGGATAGTCCCTGATGTCTCTCTTCCCATGCCTCTGTACCAACCGGCGTGGCCCCTCAAGTTCCAGGAGGCTGCCATGCTTTCCTCATCTTTCCTGGTTCCTTCCCTGACACCACTCAGGTCCTGGCTCACAGCTGGCTCGCCTGGGCCTGGCACCCATCTGCCTTCTGAGGGGGATACGCAGGTGAAACACACACGAGGGGCACAGGGTGCCGTGGGGCCAAAGAAGAGGAGTTTGCGGAGAGGCTGGGGGCTGGCAGGCCCCCCCAGGAGGGCGGCCTGTGAGGACAGGCCAGAAGTCAAAGGCCGTCCTGCTTCAGACCCGCCAGGGCTGCTGGCAGCCACCTTGCCGCAGGTGCTCCTCATCCTGGTCACCACCCAGACCCCGAGGCCTGCCGGCCCCACCCTGCGTGCTGGCGTTGAGGCACCCTCTGTCTCTCTCTCTCCCCACCCTGGGCCCTCCTAGTGCTACCTGGCTGCCCTGGACTCTGGCAGCCACGCGGGCTGGCAGTTAAAGCCCACGGACAGTGCCCGAACGCTGTGGTAACCGTGCCGCCCTCAGTGACAGGTACCAACGCCCCTGGGCCGGTCTGCCCCGCACAGCCTGCTGCTGCACTGCGCACCGCAGCCCCCTCCTCACCCTGGCTGCGAGGGGCCGTACTGGCCTCATACCCTGCCCGATGGGGCCCAGCAGGCTATGCTCAGGCCCACAGCTGTGTGGCTCCTGCACTCGGCCCGCAAGGCTCCCAGGGCTGGTCCTAGGCTCAGAGCTTCCCAGCCAGGCTGTAGCCCCCTCCCACAGACCCTGGCCCCACAGCCCAGCCTCTGGACTGTTTGCCACCAACTGCAGGCGACCCCAACACCCCAACAGTGTGTGCCCATTCTGTGCTGTCAGCCCCAGCAAGGAAGCCACCAACCCAGATCCTGTGAGTGCCTGAACCCCACACCTGGGCTCGGGGCACAGAGAGTGCAGGTGCACCTGGGGACCTGGGGTCTACAAGCCAGTGGGCCTGGCCTCCAAGGCACAGCCCTTGCATGCCAACTCATGCAGACGAGTGTGTGTAGACAGGTGTGTATGGACAGGTGAGTGCAAACAGATGCATGCAGACAGGTGTGTGGACAGGTGCATGCTGACAGGCGCATGTGGACAGGTGTGTATGTGTGGTCAGGTGTGTGCAGACAGGTGCATTTGGACATTGTGTATGGACAAGCGTGTGTGGACAGATGCACGCAGACAGGTGTGTAGACTTGTGCGTGTGGACAGGTGTATTGACCTGGGCACAGGCTTCTCCCAGCTGTCCCCCACAGCTGATGCTCGGACTGCGGCTGCATTTCGCCACCCACCCCACCTCCCGCACAGATGACCTGGTCTCCCTGCAGCCTGCCTGCCACCGTCCCGCCCCCTTCGCGGCTGCCCTTGGGCTGCTTGCAACCTTCTCCCCCTACTGGGCTCCGGGAAGGCTCTCGGTGACCAAGCCTTCTCCCTCTGCGTCTGGGGACTAGGGAACCTGCTTGGGTCCCTGGGGGAGCTGCAGGGTTAAGAGTCCATCCCTGGGGCCCACCTGGGATAGGTGAGCTTTAAGCCTGGGTCCTGGGGTCCACCTGCAGGGCTCTCACCAGCTGGTGACCTGGCCAGAGTCCTGGCCTTTTGTACCCCCTGGATGGGCATGTGAGGCCCTCAGCATGTCTCCCTCACGTGCACACACTGACACACATGTACTTGTGCATGCATACTCACACTGATCATGCGGACTTGCTCACATGCACACACACAAGTTCACATGCACACATCCACTCACTCACTTGTACGCATGTGCAGACACTCAAATGCACCAGCTCACACCCACACCTAACTAGATGCTTCCACACACATATAAACGTGCACACACTTGCACACTCAATGCACACACATACTTGCACACTCACTTGTGTATGTATGCAGCAAGTTTGATGAGGGTGGCCCAGGGACTGGCTGTCTGGGGGGAGGGTGGCAGGCAGGGGCTCTCCACCTCCCAAGCCGCCCCAGGGAGGAGCTGGTCCACCACCCATGTGGGCAGGCAGCATCACCACGGCCCAAGGGGCCTGCTGGGGCTTTCAGGGGCCTTCTTCCGGAGTGGTGACAGGCAGACGGGCAGGGTGCTGCGTGGCTCAGGGGAGGGGTCCCTCAGGTGGGCCCCTCACTCTGTAGGGGTGAGCTGTGGGCATGCCAGGGCCTGAGGGGGTGTCTGGCCCTTTCTGGACACCAGCCTGGCCCCCCGCTTTGCATGACCGTTCCATCAGCTTCTCTCGGGCTCCTCAGCCCAGGCCTGGGCCACTGCACTGCAGGCTGCCTGGGTGTAGGGTCGCTGGGACACCTCAGAGCTCCAGCCCTTGGGGGTGACTGGCTCTGCCAGTGCTGGAGGGAGGGGGCTCATCAGGAAAGGAAATGGGGTGCCCTCTTGCCCTGAGCCTGGTGGAGTCTGGGCCCCAAGGTTGCACCACCCTCCCCAGGCCAATCCTCTTGGGGTCCAGGCCCTGGGCCAGCTGCCCCTGAGCCATAGCCCCCCATCTGTACTGCTGTATCCTGTCTCCCAGGGGACCGAGGACCACAGCAAGGAGACCGCCGGCAGTGCCTGGCTCTGCCCACGGGCCCTGCTGACCCTGCTGACCCTGCCCCCTCTCTCCCTCAGTACACCTCCAGCATGAGAGCTAAATACCTCGCCACGAGCCAGCCGCGCCCAGACTCCAGCAGCAGTGGGCACTAGACTGTGCCGCCAGCACAGCCCCCACGTGCCAACCCCCTTGTGCCAGCGCCATGCAGCTGCTCCCCTGAGGGCCGCCGCTGGACCCCTGCACACCGTTCCAGCCCAGAGCCCCCACCTTCCTTCCCACAGGGTGCAGAAGCCGGGCTGCCTGCAGGACTCAGCTGTACCACTCCTCAGCCCCGTACCTGGCATGTGTGACTTTGCCACTGCCATCTGCCCTGTCACCTGGCCTGTCACCCGGCCTAACCTGCCCCTACACCCTTTGCAATGGCTGTGAGCCAGCTCTGTGCTGGACTCCATCCCTGGCACGCCCTCTTTGCACCCACCCGCCTGGCCACCGCACTCGCTCTCCTATGCTCGCTGGACCCCCCAGACCTGTCCTGCCTCCAGCCACACGCCCCCTCTCAGCCTCTCCTGGCCCCCTCGATGTCTCTGGAATCCTTTTCTAATCACAGGCTCCCACGAGCCCTCTGCTCCAGGCTTCTGCTCACCACTGTAGGGGCGATAGGGGGGCAGGCAAGACCACGCCTGCTTCTCTGCCCTCCCACACCGAGGAGACTCCCCCATGCTGTCCCCAGCTGGCAGGTGGCAATGGACACAGTGGTCATGGATGCCATCACCCCCCCGTGCCTGGCTCTCCTGGGCATCCCTGTCACTCATTCCTTCTCTCTCACTCCAGTGTCCATGTGGACCACAGGCTCCCTGCCGCCTGCCAGCCTTCTCCAGGGTGGCCCTGCTTCCCCCTCTCCTTCAGTAGCTCCCTGTGGACTCGGCCTGACCATGCTCGGTCCCCTGTCCCCACCTGTGCTACCCGGGCCGCAGCCCGGCTGTTCTTGGTGCCAAATCCCCCCTCCCCCTCAGCCGAGCCTTGTGGCCTCGTGGGTTTGTTCTTTGCACTAACCACGTTTGTCATTTCTAGGCGGGCGGCTGTCTGGCCGTGGGAAGGGGCTGCCCTGTCCCCCATTCTTGGTTCCATTTCCACCCAGGACCAGTGGATGTGGTGCGCCCAGGAGCCCTCCTCGGTGCGGCACTGAGTTGGCTGTGAATGTACCCCCAGCCTGGCCGCCCCTCCTGGTGATGTTGTTAGGTGCTGTCGAGTCCGTTCCGACTCATAGTGACCCTGTGTATAACAGAACGAAACACTTTCAGGTCCTGCGCCATCTTCACAATCGTTGCTATGTTTGAGCCCATTGTTGCAGCTACTGTGTCAGTCCATCTCGTTGAGGGTCTTCCTCTTTTTCGCTGACCCTCTACTTTACCAAGCATGACGTCCTTCTCCAGGGACTGGTCCCTCCTGATAATATGTCCAGAGTACATGAGACGAAGTCTCGCCATCCTCGCTTCTAAGGTGCATTCTGGTTGTACTTCTTCCAAGACAGATTTGTTCATTCTTCTGGCAGTCCATGGAATATTCAACATTATTCGCCAACACCACAGTTGAAAGGCATCCATTCTTCAGTCTTCCTTAGTCACTGTCCCGCTTTCGCACGCATATGAGGCGATTGAAAATACCATGGCTTGGGTCAGGTGCACCTTAGTCCTCAAGGTGACTTCTGTGCTTTTTAACACTTTAAAGAGGTCCTTTGCAGTACTAACCACTAACCTCATTCCCAGCACAGCGGGTGCCGGGCTGACCGGCCACCAGGCCAGGGGACCAGTGTCCTGGCTGGAGCAGAGGCCAGTAAAAGCCAGGGCAGAGACCTGCTTCCTCATGGGCACACTGGGAGGGCAGAGACCCTTCCCCAGGCAGGGGCCACCGCAGGAGGCCCAGGTCCTCAGAGATGGCGGCCGTTGGGCTGCAGGACTGAGCTGGGCCTCTGCCAGCCTCAGTCTCCCTACCTGTGAAGTGGGAACAAGCTTCCCGACGGTGCTTTTGGCTTTAGTGTATGATGTTTGCTGGGCTTCCCACGTCAGGATCAGCCCTGGCCCTGATGGCCCAAAACAGGGCGGGGGGCGGAGGGCCAATGCCGGCTGTGGTCTGTACGCCAAAACCGGGCAGCCAGGGGCAGGTCTGGGCCCGCAGGGAGGTGGCAGCCCGCCCTTCAGTTTACAGACACAGGCCTTCTGCCCAGAGCGGCACATGCTGCCTGTTCCAGAAATGACCAGCCTTGGGGCCTCCCTCTGCAGCTGAGCCTCCCCTTCCCTGTGATCCCCTTTCCTTGTGCTGGTGTCAGGGACCAAAAGAGGGAGTGGGGGGCCACATCTCCCCCCCTGCACAAGGCAGCTTCTGCCCCAGGTGGGGAGGGGCGTGGGTGGGCTCGGCGGTGCCCGAAATGGACCTGGGCCAGAGCCCTGCGTCTGAGCCCCCCAGGCATGGACACACTTGCTCTAGTGGACTCTCTGTTGGGCCCCACGGGGCATGGAAGCCATGCCACCACCACCTCCCAGGCCATCCTCCAGGCTGAACCCCACCAGGGAGCCAGGCACGGAGACCTTCGCCCGGCCCTGGCTGCCCACCGGCCGCAGGTTGGGGAGTTGAGGACACCCGGCCCCCTGCCTGGAAACATAAGCAGCTGTCTCACCCACACTGTACATAGAACATGGGGATTGTGCCCACAGCCCGGGTCCTGGGTGCCTTGGACCCTGATTGCCGCGTGCCTGCACGCCCGGTCTGTAACTCACCGACTTCCTTTTCTCACTGAGGTTGGAGAAGGAAAAGGGGAAAATCAGTGTGTTCAAACCTAAACCTCAGATGCAGAGGGGGAGTGGGTCGTTGTGTTCTTTTTGTTCTGTTTTTGGTGCCCCTGTCCTAACCACCCTGCCCTGGTGACCTCTCCACACCTGGGGACATTGGGTGGGGCACCACCTGCATCACCCCCACTTCCCTCCCTGCACTAGGGATGACCATGTAGGGGACCCCCTGTGTCCCTGATGAGTCAGGCGAGTGGAAGGTGGCCATGAGGCCCCCTCCACCCAGGCTCGGCTGGGGGCACAGGCGCTGATGGGGGCACCCTCTGTGGTACCCACCCCCATGGCCTCGTGTGGCCAGGTTTGTGGTGAAGGGGCCTGCTGGCCATTTCCCTTTCAACCCCCGCCCCCCCCCCCCATCTCACTATGCAACTCCAATCCCAGGCCCTGTCCCAGGACCTCCGGGCCCCTGGCCTTGCCTCAGGAGAGGACTGTGGGGGGCGGGCCCTGGCCCAGTTTGGGAGGGTGAGGGCCAGGGGCCTCTGTGTGAACGTTTCTTTGTTTTGTCATTTTAACCATAATGACTGTGTATGTACCACTTCATATTTGTTATATATAATATATATATATGATTTTGTTAAACTTTTGAGCCTCCTAGTTGGTTCCCCCTCCTGGCCCTGCATCTCACCCCGTTTCACCATCAAGCGGTAAACTGAGGCTTGACCATCTCTGCACCCACCCCTCCAGCCTCTGTCGGCCGCGGCTGTGTGGTCCGTTGCCGTTAACTGGTTTTTTCTTTTCTTTTTCTTTTTTTTAAACTGGGTTTGGGGTTTGATTTTTGTTTCTTTAGGGGCTGTTTTTCTTGGCAAATACTAAAACTCGTCACTGTGATTTCTGTGGTTTCTGTTCAGCTTGAGTTTAATGTTTTAAAATAAACAAATTTTGAAAAACAGGCCTCTTTTCCCAAGTTGTTTTGGCCTCTGCCCGAGAAGGGAGGCAGAGAGGCTGTTGGAGGTTTGTGGGGAGTCTGCCATTCTGCGGTTTGGAGCAGATGGCCACTTGCCTGCTAGCTACTTACACTCAGTGGCCTGTCAGTGTGCCCAGGGTCGAGAGCAGACTGGCCAGGAGTCCAGGGTGGCCGGTGTGGAGAGGGTGTCCCAGGAGGGGCTGGGCAGGCAGGAGAAACCAGCCAGCGGGAGCTTTTCATTAAAGAGCAGTGGTCGTCTGACGTTTTACAAGCACGATTTTGCAGTCTGGAAGGTGGGTTGAGGCCCTGAGTGCGCTGGGACCCTGTGAACAGGCGCCTTTGGGCCCCAGGCCTGGGATGAGGCGCCTGGCCAGGGCGGTGGCTGGAGGCAGGCAGGGACAGGTCTGCGCAGTGGTGGGTCCCTGGGATGGGTGTCCCAGTCCCCACTGTGGAAACTCCTCATCCTTGCAGACCCCCACCAAAGCAGGGTTCACGGTACCCTTGTGCAGCAGCTCCCTTTGCAACTGGCCTCCTTCCAGCAAGTTCCACAGCATCCACCTCCAAGGTGTGGGTGCAGAGTGGACGGGTGGGTGTGAGCAGGTTACAGGTGAGCCAAGAGAGTACACCAGAGCAGGAGGGGGCAAGGGAGTGAAGGCATGGGCAGGGAAGGGACCCTGGATTCGGCCATTGGGGTGGGGGGGCATGGGGATCAGAGGTCCCTGGGAGTGGGACTTGTGTCAGGATACTGGAGGGAGGGAGCTGGACAGCTGGGGTGGAGACAGGAGGGTGTGCATTAAGCTGAGGTGGGGGGTGGGTAGTGTTGGCCCATGAGAAGTTGAGTATGACCGCGGGGTAGGGACAAGACCTCTGGCGGAGAGGACAGGGTGGGGCACTCATCTGTGGACACTGAAGTCTCCAGGAATGAATTCAGGGGCTGTGCGGGAGAGGGGGGAGCTAGGGACCAAAGTCTCCACCAACAGAAGGGCTGTGGGTACCACAAACCTGTGGGCAGTAGGTGATTCAGCGCTGCAAGGGGGTCAGGAGGGAGGGAACAGAATGGGCCGGAAGGGGTCAAACCAAACCAAACCAAATCCATTACCGTCAATTCCGACTCATCTCGAACCTGCAGGACAGAGTAGAACTGCCCCACAGGGATCCCAAGGCTGTAATCTTTACATAAGTAGACTGCCACTTCTTTCTCCCGCAGAGCTGCAGGTGGGCTCCAACCAACGACCTCTCCGCAGCTGAGTGTTTAACCACCAGGGCTCCTTCTGGAAGGGGTAGTGAGAGGCATTTCCAGGGTGAGGGGTCTGTGAGATGCGCCAGCAGGGGCTCCAGGTTCCCGGAGGTGGCGAGTTTCTGCAGGAGCCACTTCAGGACCCCCAGGAGGGCTGTGAGCTTGAACGCCACGCCTCACCCCAGTTTCCAATGCAGCAGGCCTGGGGGGCCAGGAGTTTGCATTCCCAACAGGTTCCCAGGTGGCTGGCTGTTGATGGTCTGGGGACCAACAAGGATGCCGCTGTGTACAGCAGGCAGGAGAGCAGTCACTCAGAGACAAGTGGGGGGTGGACCATGAGGAGATGCTGTGGGACAGGCCCATGTGGAAGGAAGTAGAGGGCTATGGGGGAGCTACCTGCCTCGGCCTTGACCCTTGACATTACACATAATATATGATGAACCCAGGAATCCCTGGGTGGAGCAAATCATTGACACGCTCGGCTGCTAATCCAAA